GGCACTGTGCAGAGGCTGCTGGCTGATCCTGAAACCTGCCTCCTCTTCCTGGGCATTTCCCAGCCTCCCTTACCTTTAGATAAGGCTTTGTGGCCAAATTCTTGTCAGTGGGGTGACTAAAATGTGCGGATTCCAGGCCTGGCCCCTAAATCCTCCAGGCACAGGTGGAGTGTGTGCCCTTTCCTCGCCTGGCTCAGTGCAGAGAGAGAACCCAGTGGCATAGGCAGCCCCAGCCACAAGAAGGAAGGGCCCAGGCACCAGTGCCCCTACCAGGGAGGATGCTCTCTGCTGACAGGAATCCCTGCTCTGGACTTTACCTGAGCTAGAAGTAAATATTTACAGTGTGTGAGCCATTGTACAGTTTGTTCTATGAGTTAGCCTGTGTAACCTAGACACCATGCCCAAAACAGACTCTGCTCTGATTATTTATCTGTAATGCTTTATGCAATGGCCATGGATTTCAAGAATCAATCTAAGTCAGGATACAATAAGTGACAAAAAAAGTTTAGTGTATCATTTCTAATTGGTGCAGTGGTTTATTGCACTTACTATGGTCTCTCTCCATCTTTGATTTAATAAGAAGCTGTGTAGATCCTCAGTTAGCTTTAAAGGTACTCTGTGGAGACTTCAACATCTTTAGTTCTTATTTCAAAGAATTGTAAATAGTTTTCATCATGCTACTTTTCTGTTCCAAAGCCTTTAATCACTTCTTATTATATGGCATTTTGTTTCATTAATCCATCATCCAAAAACTGTCCATATATAATGAAAGTGTGTGTAACAACCTGACTCACATTCTCTGAAGAGAGACAAAATGAATAAAACATGGTCTCTGCCTTCAAAGAGTTTGTGCTTGGTACACTGCATTTCTACACTGCTGCCATCTGCCCCTCATTCTTACCTTTCATAAGCCATATGTTATTATTTCATTACCCTGTTTCCATTATTGTCTCCCCAACTGGACAGTGCGCGTTCCGCACACAGGGACCATATTTTATAGAGCCCACACCTCCTGTCTGGGGTACTTGTAGCAGGTACTGGGCTCTATTCTTGAGTAGCTATCTCTATAGTTTCTCTTAATTATCTCGCTGGGGTATTCTGGCATAGTTTTGTATCATGGTCTATATTAACAGACAAAAGTGCTTTTTTAGTCTGTTAGGAATTCAGAGAATTATGCAGTTGAGAAATGTCAGGATTGGAAGGATCTTTTTATATCATTTATCTAATTTCTGATCTTTTAGGTGGATCTGGTTCATGACACTCCAGATGCAGCCATGAATCACGGCAGTGGCATCACCTGGGGGTCTTTGGAGGCGACTTTCAGGTCCCACACAGACTTGTGACTCAGAACCCACTTTTAAACAGAAATCCTTAGATGACCCACATAAAGTTGTCAACTTCACATGTGACTCTTCCCATGAGAAAACCAGGAAAACTAGAGCTGGCCAGAGTCTCACAACTGTTTATTTTGCATCCTGGGGTTGCTTGGGAATTATTAAGCTATACTGATGCCTGGGTCCCCTCCTCAGACATTGTGCCCTGAATTGATGCCGGGCATCAGAATTTTAAAAAATTGACCGTCTTGAGGTTGAGAACTGTTGAACTGGTTAATGATGGAATCCTGGTTTCTTGATATTTCAGTCAAGCATTTCCTTCACTCCATCATAGATGTACATTCAGGAATAATGCAAAAATTCCTATCAGCTGGGCGTGGTGACACAGACTTGTAATCCCAGCCCTCAGGAGGCTGAGGCATGAGGATTGCCTCGTGTTTGAGGCCAGCCTAGCCTGCATAGTGAGTTTAATACATAGTGAGACCATTTTGTTCAAACAAAACAAAATAACAAAAGACCAAAAAAAAAAATTTCCTACTGAGTTTTCACAGTGATGTACTCTGTTTTATTTCCTTCCTAGCACTTAGCCCCATTAAAAAGTATCCCTCTTGCTTCTGCCTTCTTCCTTTCGAATTGACCCTGGCCTGTCACTGCTGGGTCCTGGCTCCCTCAGTGAGTAGCGTCCCTATGCACATCAGGCCCTCTTTCATGCGTGTTCTGCCCTGAAGGTGCCGCAGGAGTGCCCAGTCCTGACACCACAGGCTTCCTGAAGGACAAGTGGCCTGGCCGAACTGAAGACGCAGCCAGGGAGGGCAGCAGGACTTCTGCTGTGGGAGGACATGGAGTTGCATCTGGCTTGAATGCCTCGGTGTCCCACTTTGCTGCCCTGTCCTGAGACACTGCTTTGCCCAAACCTCTCAGCAGCACCTGGGGATCTGGGCTGGACCACCGCTTGGTGTGGCTGAGCTGCAGCCTAAGCAGTCTACACACAGGTGTCGAGGTGGCCCTGTGCAAGGTTCTGCTCAGTGCCCAGCACAGGAGAAAGTACTGCAGGGCAGCCAGATCTTACCTCCTCCCCTGTTCTTGTGCTCTGCTTGTTTGCTTGAGACCCTGGAGTTTTGGAGGTTACGGTGATGCCTCATTAGATTTCACTCTCATTTATGTGAGTTTCTTTTGTAGTTAAATTAATTGTTGAGACTTTCTTTATTATGCTCTGGGGAAAGTGTATTCTTTTTTTAATCTATGATTTTTGTTTCATATATATAT